TCCCCCTCCTCCTCCTCCTCCTCCTCCTCCTCCCAGCCTCCTCCCTCCATCCTCAGACAGGGGGGCTGGGTGGCGGAGGGGCGGTCCTGACAATTGGCCAGCCCTGCCTCCTCCGCACGGGCGAGCGCCTCCGCGTCGGGAGGGCTCCAGCAAGGTCGTTGTCGCCGTCACCGTCGCCGTTGTCGACGCCGTCGCCGTCGTCGCCTGCGTCGTAGTCGGCGTCGTCGCCGTCGTCCCCGGTCGATCGATCGATCGTGGTTTCAAGTTCGAACATTGGTTCCGCATTGTTTCTCTTTCTGGAAGGTCGAATCGGACCCTGGCACTCTCACGCACAGATCCAAGATGGAAACACATATCTCAAATGGAATGGACAGGGGAAGAGTCCGTGAACGGATTGTGAGCGCCTTTCGGCCACCGTCGTCGCTAACGCGGAGTTCGAAGCAGTGCAAGGAAGGCCCCAAGAGGTTCCCAAGCATAGAAACACTTCGTGTCTGCGGCTGTTCCCCGAACAGTGATGACAATGTTCCCAGACCCCCGACGTCATGTTTTTTTCCATTACGTGAACCCCCAGCGGTCTCGGCCCACTCCCCGGGACTGGATTCTCATCCTGAGCCGTCGGCCCCGAAGCCAAACAAGCGCCCTCAGAGGCTGAAAATGGCGAGAACCCCTCGCCGTGTTGTTTCATGCCTCGACGGGATATTGGTTCTGATTTAAATAAATATTCACCCGTCCATCCACAACCGCTGACGGGCAAGTCATTGAACACCGGGTGGGGCCTCATGTGACACTGTCTGTAGTGGTCGGCCGCTGGCGCATAGACCCTGCGCATGAGGCTCCTTTGGCTATTTGCGCTGCACACGACCAATTTGTGCTTCCATGCTTACCGTTGGACTACTCCGGGTGGGCTCCCAAGCGTGGGCTCCTATGCGTGGACTCCTATGCGTGGACTCCTCTGCGTGCCTCATTTTCACGTGGCACCACGGCGGCCCAGAGAAGCGCCAGATACGGGCCGAGGGACGGACCAAGAGCTCCCAGAGACTGCCCAAGAGGCCCCTCGAGAGGTCCCCAATAGGCCCCGAGAGGCCCTCAAGCGGCCCCCAAGAGACCCCCAAGAGGCACCCAAGATACCCCGAGAGTCTGTGAAGCTCGCCAAGAGGCTCCCAAGACGTCCCAAGAGGCCTCCAAGAAGCACCCAAGGCGTCCCAAGACGTCCCCAAGAGCCGCCAGCAGGCCCCCAAAGACACCCCAAGAAGCCTCCCAAAGGCCCTGAGATATCCCAGGACACCCCGAAAAGCATCCAAGAAGACTCTGGCCCACGGAAGCTCCCCGATCTCTCCAAATATTGCCACGCTCCCCCGACACGGGCTGCTCCCCGGGGCATATTCCTGGATGGGCTGGTTGGGAGATGCGACGCGTTAAGAATTCACATGTTGTACAAACACGGTGGCGGGATATATATATATATATATATATGAAAATGTATACCTACGTATATATGTATGTGTAAACGTGTATTTATATTCATGCATTTACTGAATTGTGTGTGATTGTGTGTGTTGGACCTTCGATTCGTTACAGATGGGCCGATGGGTGGGTGCCAGCGGTCTCGAGCAGGGGGGTAACACTGGCCGAGGGTATTGGGAACACAAGCTAGCAAGACCTCGCACACAATCTCAACAGGGTCCTGAGACCGCCCTGGGGCACCCTAGGGGATTTGCTGAGGTGAGCTGGGCCACCTCCACGGACTGTCAGAGCGCCACCCTGCCCCAAGTTGTCATTCGAAGCCCACTGGGCATCCGAGCCCATTCGGGCTGCCAAACGGACGTTCGAACGGACTCGCTCCCCAAAGGGTGGTGGGTCCCTGGCCCGTTCGGCCGCTCGCGGAGCTCGTTCCCCGATGCGTTCGGCTGCCGAAGCGGGCCCAGGCACCGAACGGCTCAGGAGAGAGGCCTCAAGTGGATCCTGCATCACCTCAAGATGCCGGGCACGGCAACGACGGCGGTGACGAAGGCGGCGGCGGCGTCAAACAGCGGCGGTGACGGCGACGATGTGGCGAAGATGATGGACGACGGCGGCATCGATGATGCCCGCGGCGACGGCGGCGGCGACGGCGTCAACGACGGCAACGAGCCTCGCGCAGCTGCCCCACGTCGCCACTCTGCAGCGCGGCCTTTAGGGCGCGCAACGCCTTGCCAGGGGCTGCGCCGGCGGAAGCGCTGCCCAGGTGCAGGCATCACGTCGTCATCATCCTACTCCTTCTCCCCTGTTATTCTCCCCTGTTATTCTCCTCGTCATTGTCTCCCCCCTGCTCCCGTGTCTAATCCTCCTCCTCATTCTCCTGCTCCTGCGCGTCGGCTACCTCATCCTCGTCCTTCTGATCCTCTCCCAGACATCGGCCTTCGGCTTACCCGACAGCGCGCGCGATCAACAGACAGCAAGGCGACAGACAACAAACGAATCGAAATAATAATAAGCAAGCCTTGCAAGCAGTGTCAAACAACCAAGGTCAATATTGAGGACACTTGTCTCCAATGAGCGTGCCTGATGCAGAATAGAGAATGCAAAAGGGAACGACTGAACACACGGGGAGGCGTAGCACGAGTAAAAGGAATATAGCCTCCAGAAAGATGGGGTGGGGATAATCACGACTGTTCACCTAAAATTCTGGCGCTGTCAACCACGAGCAGCAATAATTAATGCTGGAAACATAGCCCAGAGTGCACGGTCCCGCCTCGGCTGTTTGCTCAACTTTCTGCAGCGCGCCACGAGCCTCCGCAAGCCTCGGTTGAAGGATCATGCGTCTCGTGGTCAAGGACAGCTCACCGATAAGCCCCATCCGCGCTCCTGATCCAAACAACAGGCTGACGCTCCCAGGTTTTCCGCCAGATGGCGCCTCGTGGCCACCTCGTGCGCTGGATGATGCTTCCAATTCTGTTGCTGCTCGCTGCCCGTGGGCGCTGGCTGGCGATTCCAGGCGTTCGGCCGATCGTTGCCCGTGGCCGCCTCGTGGCCGCCGCGAGCTCGGGCGGGCGGGCGGGCGGGCGTTTCCAGACCGTCGGCCTGTCGCCGCCGCAGACCCAAGGCCACCTCGTGGCCGCCTCGCGCGCTGACTGCAAGATACAGAGTGCACCACACAGATCGCACCAAGTAACGCCATACAAAGTGCACGCGTAAGAGTGTGGCACGCGAGTTGCACCGCATGGATGGCACCACGTAAGCTCTCCCGTCAAGAGAAGGCTAGAGCCTACCAACCTCCCGCGCCAAGGGTTAGCCGACCCCCTGGGGTATTGCAGTTTACAAATGAAACGCGCCTCATCGCCCATTATCCAAATAAAATTGTACCACCCCAGGCCGACCGTTATAGGCACCTCCCCCATCTCCGTCAAACTGTGCCATGCGAGCACACTCATGTACAATGTTGCCAAGATCCCCTTGAACAAACAGAACACAACAACGTCCATACGAGCGCGCACATACCAAAATCATACCAAGCACCTTCGTGCTGTAAGCATGCCAATATCATAATTGAAACAACCCAGTGGCACTGTGAAATCATATAGATTGCAAGTTCTCTGCCCGCGGGCACTACCTGAAATCGTAGGAAGCCACATTATGTATTCACAAAACTGTGCGGAACCCGCGATCTTGTCTCACCACGCGGCGCATCCACGTTGATCTAGCATGCGCCCGACGCACGCACCCGTACCCAGCAATACCATGCGGCCCACATGCGCGCGCCGCCACACGCGCGTCGAAATCTGGCCAAAGCATTGGTTACGCCGGCATGCCAAGATAGAGATTCCAAAGGCATGAGCAAACCGCACGCTTCTCAACAACAAGTTCCCCTGACTTCTTGAATTTCAGCGCGCGCGCGCGCACGGGCGCGCAGTTCCATTATCACGCGAACATGCGCCATCGCATCACCGCCGTTATCGCCATCGCGAAACGCTGCCAGCTCTGCAGTCAGCAACGCAATCACCTCCTTCACAGACACATGCGTCGTCATCGTCGTCACCAACATCGGCACCGGCATTGGCCTTGTCGTCGTCATCGCCATCATCGCCATCACCATCGCTATTATCATCACCGTCGCTGCTGGTGTCGATGTCATCGTGACATCGCGCACGCCCGGACCACCGAACCGCACCGAAGTGCCCGCGAGCGAGCGCAGCCTTTGAGACGCACTGTAAAGTTCTCATCGGTAAGCGCCATCGCGGCCGCATCAGCTGTGCCAGACCAGCTGGTCGCTCTGAGCGGGAGCGTGCGTGCACCAGTGCGGCCGTAGAGATGCGCTGGCCGCGTAGGTTTCGCTAAACGAGTTGCGGATGGGAGGGCTGGATGTTTGAGCGAGCATTGGGGTTCACAGCTCCAGTTTCCACCTAGTCACTTGCACCATAGAAATAGCACCGCATGTATATTGCGTTAATCGCACACCACATAGAGTGCCACACACATATTGTAACGCACAGCTTGCCCCACATAGGATGCACCATTCACAGCTTGAGGCACCAATACTGCGCATCGGGAGTGCAATAAATAACTGTTTGGATTTCGATGCTGGATGACATGCTGTGCCGTCCTACTCTCCCAACTCATCCCATCCCTTCCTGCCTTTGTCTCCCCTCGTCGCTGCCCCGACCCCAGTCCTCGAGTCAGTGCGCGCCAGAAGGCGCTGTGCAGCCCAATTGCGTGCCTTCAAACGCAAACAGGGAACTGCTCATATTCCCCATGATCCCAATGCTCGCGTCGATGACTTCGACTCGCTCGTAGAATTAATCGATGGGGTGGCTCAAAGAGAAGCTCAGACCAACTACTTGCAACGCTGCACATGCTGAGCAGCAGATCGACACGTCTACCCTCCACGATCCTAAACATATGAAGGAGGGCACCATTATCATAACATGTTAATGGCAAGTTTTCAATTGGAAGCGCCGAAGTTCAGACAAGACGTCCTGTGCTGAATAATCACGTCTGCCTAAAACCCTCTTGGTGGTTCTGCCTCACGTCGACTCCGTTTCCCCGGCACTGCTGTGGATCTTCCAATGGTTCCAATAAGACTCATGTATGTTGAGTCTCCCAAGGCGGTCGTGGTGGAAATTCTCCATCGTTACCAGCTTTCCGTCAACGAACCAGTCGGAGATAGAGAGCTTCATTTCCAAACGACGGCCGTCGCCATCCTTCACCTCTGGAACGATGCTCTCACCAAGCTGCCCGTCCAATAGACCATTATGGAAGATCACGCCTCTCAACTTTATGTCGTAGTTGACCAGAGGAATTATCCGAATAAGAGCTGGAGCTCCGCCACATGGACCTTCGACGCTTAGGTTTGACACTGTCATCTCAAACGTCTTCGTTGGATCCACGGCCTTTCCACCGCAGTAGAACGGTGACCCGCCGATTATGGCCGATGGTACATACACCTCTGACCTCCTGTAACGAGAATGTATAACATTCAGGCTGTCAATAAAGACGCCACTCACGTCACGTGCATCCCAGCCGATCTGGATTACAGGGTCATTGTGGCACTTCCAAATTGTCGCTCGAGAAAGCGTCACGCCTGAGTGGTACACTTTGATAGCATCATCGTTCACATGTAGAAATACATCTTGTATGATGCTGTTGCTGTACATCTGTGGCCCATCAGTCTGAAAGAAGTAAGCTCCAACTTGCTTATAATCGGAAATTGTTGATGCTATCTCGTCGCTGCCGTGGAAATCCATTGTGTTGAACGGTGGTGATGCAATCGTTGGGCCGACGCAATGCCAACTCTGACCCTTTCTTATCCCCTTGTGACTCCACATTCGGAGACTGTTTCCGTCGCACTTCACTGCCTGGTAGAATGTCTCTGGGTTCGCTTGGTATACGTAGTGCTCCCCCGAGAGCACCCCGTGACCTGTTGCAAAGAAGGCGCCTCCTGTGTAGCTGTACTCTATAGCCCCCTTCACATAGGCTCCAGCGTCCAAGTGCACCCACCGCGTATTCTCATGCAAACGCAAATGGTTTTCACCATATTTTGGCTCGCTGCCAGAAGCCGCCTGCTCAATCCAGAAGACGCCTGGCGGGAAATACAATCGGCCGGCCACTTCGTGGGGCCACCAGCCTGCGAGCTCCGTGACCTTCTGATTAAACTCAGGCCTCTGTTAGCGATACACAAAACTAATTCGTACCTGAAGTGTGTCCGCAGTACGCACACAGGCCCCCCAAACGCATGTCAAACATACTCGTACGAGGTACCGAAACGTGAACACTCCGAATGTGAAACGGAGCAGTGACCAGGCCCTTGCCACCCAAGATGCCCCTTTTGCCTCCAATATCGCCCCCTATGCGCGAGTGGAAACGATGTTCCCAACGCCCGGAGATGGCCTGGGGGGAGCCCGAAATGGCCAAGAATAGCATCAAAATGCTTCAATCTGGCTGCGAGTCGCTTGAGCATAGCCCTGACAGTCTGCAGAGACACTTCCCGACCGACGGCGCTCAGGTCACCAATCCAGAAGTAGAGGGGCCAGCAGCAGAAGGCGAAGCCCTTTGAGATCCGCCACCCCCTGTGTTCACAGAGGTGCGCGGCAAATGCTACCAGGAAGCAGGAAGCACATGGCTGGATCCAGGTGTGGAACACAAAAGGCTCGAGAGCTGGAAAGACGCGCAGCCACGTGTGCATCCAGCTCTCGCCAAGGCCATTCGCGTCATGTCGTCATGTGTTGCCGAGCCTTTTTGTTCTCGACGCGCCCAAAGGGACGACGCCGACACCACGGCTAACCAACGGCAAATCCTGAATCCCGCGCCCCAGCAGATGACGCTGGCACCGCGGCTAGCCCCACGGCAAACCCTGCGTCCGAGGCGGCGTTTGCCCTGGTGGTTGCGGCGCCCTACTCCAAACGCAAGGCCACGCCCCGGAACAAGCTAGGGGAACAAAAAACTGCATAAGCATAAACTTTCGGCGCTCTGCGAGGATTTCTTGGATCTGCGCTGGACCCCCCTCCCTGGCGCGCGGAGCGCACCAGGGGCGCCGCCAGGGGGGCCCAGCGCAGATCAAAGAAATCCGCGCGGAGTGCCGAAAAGTTACGCTTATGCCGTTTTGTTTCTCTGGTTTGCTCCGAGGCGTGGCCTTGCGTTTTGAGGAGGGCGCCGCGGCCACCAGGGCAAACGCCGCCTCGGACGCAGTGTTTGCCGTGGGGCTTGCCGCCGTGCCAGCGTCGCCTGCTGGGGCGCGGAGCGTCGGAAATTTATGCTTGTGTTAGGTCGGACATTTCCCCCTACAGGCGGATTTTGGGCGAAATTTTCAAAATAGTCCGAACAATTTGTATAATCGAAGAATCGTCCCCAGACTATTTTCTGATTCTTGTTACAAATCGTCCTCCTGTAGAGGCACATGCCCGACTCGATGCTTGTGCTGTTTTCCTCGACAAGCGGCGCGGCAAGATGTACATGCAGCGGCCTGGCTCGGCTCGGCTCTCCGTCTCCGGAGGCCACCCGCCCTCTGCCGCGGAGAGGCGCCCTCCACTGGCAGCTTGGGCCTGGCTCCTTCTCCTCCTCCTCCTCCTCCTCCTCGCCCTCCTCGTCCTCCTCCTCCCTCCTCCTTTTTGACGGTGATCAGACATGAAAAACTGATGCTCCTCCTCCTCCTCCTCCTCCTTCTCCTCCTCCTCCGCCCGCACAAGAAGCAGGCGTGCTCTTTTCGGCCACACGGGGCGGCGGTGACTCGCTCGGGGCGCCTCCGATACCTCCGAGGAGCCCAGGTCCGTCGCAGGGCGGATCGGGCCCGGCCGCATCGTGTGCAACGTCCACGGGCCAGGCAACGGCTGCGCCCATGCGGGCAAGCACGGGCTCGCAAAGACGAGGAGAGCGTGCCTCGGCTCGACGCCCACAACTTGGCCGCCGGAGCTGACGTAGTCCTGACCGTTCGTGCGATACTCGAGAGAATCGTCGTGGAACTCAACGGAAAATCGGCGTCCGTGGTCGTCTCTCGGGACCAGGACAATGATACCACCATCCTCGGCATCCTTGATCTCGTAAGGCTGCGTCGTCGGGCGGATGACGACGTTTGCCGCGAGATCTGGGGTGGCGCGGTCTATTGTCCACGTTCCTCTCGTCCACGTCCCTCTCGAGATTTTGACCTCCACGTCCCTCTGGTACTCGAACTGCGTCCACGCCATTGTCACGAGTGCCTTTCCGCTGGACTCGACCTCGACGCCTGTCGTAATGCCGTCGTCCACGGATGGTCCCATCTTGAAAGGTCCCAAGGTAAACGGATCCAACGTGTTGCTGCGAGGATGGTCCCAAGGTGAATAAATGCGTCCTCTGCCATTGCGCGGGATAGCCTCGTGTACAAACGACTCGGCCCACTCTCCATCTGGTAGTCTCACGTCAACCTTGTAGCGATGTGACTGTCGAACCTTGTTAGGTTCAACCATACTCTCCAAATTAACTTCGCCTTCGAACCTCCATGTGTGGAACCCCCTCCCATCTCCCATAAATTCCAGTTACCACTTGAGGCAGCGAGAAACAATGAAACTCGGTCAAATGCTTGTGCAGGGAGGAATTGAGCCAACGTTGGTGCAGCGGCATGAGATGTCTGCACATCGCCCACGCAAAATTGGTTTCCACTGACGGGCTGGGGGGGTCTTAATCAATAGAGGGGCGAGAGCTCCTCGTTTGAGCTCACAGGAAGGAGCCTCAACAAAGCATCCCCTCAGGACCTTAGGGAAGGCACATAAAACTCTCTGTCTCGCCGGCGGCGCATCGGGCTAATAAAAAGGGGTGATTGAGTGCGGGATCGTGGCACTGAGCAGGACGACGACGCGCGTGTTACAACGAGCCAGCTCAATGTCTGCATCAACGGAGAGGGGGATGGGGGGCGGCGCAACGCTAGGGACGCAGACGCAATGAGGAGAAGAACGACTACGATGAAAATTGCCCGGGCGATCGCTCGAGACTGCCTCGCGATTCATTCAGGAATAACGCTTCAACAACCAGCTGCTCAACCTGGCCGCCTGGGCCCGCCTTCCCGACGCGCCTGCTAGGGTCTGCTGGCCCGATCTGCCCGTCTGGTTCTACCACGTGTGTTCTGCTCCTAGCCCCCCCCCCTGCTGCTAATTTCTCTGGTGATCCATCACTCTCCCTCCCCCTTACATCCGTCCTCTCTTCCCCTGTTTGAAGGGGCTGCGCTAAATGCACGTGGCAAGTAAGGAAGACATACCCCCAAGTGGGTACGATCAAAAACGAAAAGGGTGGGTACCGAGGATTGCGGGTACACGTGTTGAATGCACGGGATCAGATAGAAGCGAACAGTCTTAAATGTGTTGTTGTTGGTGGTGGTGGCGTTGTTATTGTTGCTGATATTGCTGTTGTTGTTGATGTTGCTGTTAAGGTTATTGTTGTTGCTGTTGCTGTTGTCGATGATGGTGTTGTTAAGGTTGCTGTTGTTGCTGTTGTTGCTGCTGCTGTTGTTGATGATGTTGATCTTGTTGTTGCGTTGTTGTTTAGGCGTCCTCGCCCGCGAATGCCCCGCGACCCACCCCGCGGCCCGCCCGCGAACCACCCCGCGCCCACCCTCTCGGTCTTCCGCAACTGGGGGGGTGCTACGTATAGCCAACATATATAATGCAAACGGTAAGTAGCGTTGCTAGGTGTACGCTGCAACGCTGCAAGCTACGCCCTGCCAACTATGTGATGCAATCTATGTTTTGTGTACTATTCTCCCGTGTTGTCCGTGAGTGAAAACGGGATCAGGCCCACATGGCGGGGTAACAGTACCGTGGCGGGCGCAGGAAAAGTAGTAGAAAGAGTGATGGTGGTAGCAGTCCTTGCAGTAGTAGCAGTGCTGGCAGCGGCCACGACGAAAAGGATCACGACGACGACCGACGACGGCGACGACGACGACGATGACGACGACAATGACGGGAGAAGGCGACGACGACGACCAGCGAAAACGACGACGACGGGCTGGGGCGACGACCGCAGTACCCTGCGAGCGCCACGGCATGATTTTGAGCAGCATTGCATGCCTGCCAGCACCACAGAAGGCCTGCGAACACCCCGCCACATCTGTGGGGCAGCCCGTACCGCGCTCCTGCGTACGCTCGGTGCCAACGGAAACCGAAGCCCCCATCAGGCGCCACCGTTGCTGCCGTTGCAGCGGCGGCGACGACAGCCAACCGAGCCGCGGGTTCCCCTTTGGCCAGCCCCGCGCGCCCTGCCGCCGCCGACGATATGGCGGCGGCGACAAGACAAGGACAAGCGACGGCAGCGGCGACGACGACAGGCGACATGCGATGGCGGTGGCGATGGTGACGACGAAGGCGATGGGGACGACGCAAACGATGGTGGCGGCGCCGGCAACGACGACAGGCGGCCGCCGCGGCGGCGGCAACAACGACAGGCGACCGAGCCGCGGGCTCCCCCTCGACGAGCCCCGCGCCCTCGCCGGCGGCGATGGCTCCGCGGAGGGCGTCGGCGTCCTGGGCGGCGGCGACGACGCGCGACCCGTGCGCTGAAGAGCACAGCGTGGTCGATGCAACGGCGTCGGCGTCCTAACGTTGAGACGAATGCGGATGAGCACAGATCTGGATGAGGAAAAATCGGGGATCTCGGAGAGCAAGCGGGCCTGGCGGGTGTATCGGGTGCCGCGCCAGTTCCAGGGTGCTCTAGAACGCTCTGAGAACATTGGAAATGCCCTGGGCGATAAGCTTTATCGTAAGCCTGACTGACGCGTGCTTAGCCGATCTCCAGTAAGCGAGATCGACCAGGACTTAAACAAAAAGATGAGCTCGTGCCGAAATACAGTCGCGACGGAACACTTTCATCCACTTTATCCCTCTGGGGCGCCTGCATGCGACGTACACTTTTAAGTCCGCGGGCGCCAGCTGGTCCAAGACAGTCAGACGCCGGTCAAGCAAGCGGTGGGGTGCACTGGGAGCGAACTTAGGCACGAAGGCGACGAAAGAGAACAGACCGCGAGGGGGAAGAGGGAGGACTCCGCCCAGACCATGGAGCCATTTCGACGTGCACGCGCGGCGAGGTATTCACAGCAGCAGGTGTCAGCAGAGTCGCGCTCATGAGAGAAAGAAGATGGAGAGTCCTGTGAATAGGCCCAGGGACACACACACATAGACACGTATCCCAGGATCCCCTAGATGTTTCAATATTTTCTCGATGTCCGTCTTCCCTGCATTTCCCATGTTTCCCATATTTCCCTTCGGGTCGACGATTATTTGTGTCTTTGTATTTGTCTTCCCTCTTGGAGGATGGAGAGTCCTTGGCGGCCAGGGACAGCAACGGCAGCGGGAGCAGGACGGGCCAGCGGGCGGGGAAGGCGAGGAACGACGATGACGACCACGACGACGACCACGACGACGGCGACGGTGACGACGCCGGCGGCGACGACGATGATGGCAGCGGCGGCAGGAAAAAACACGGCAGGATGACGGCGGCGGCGACGAGGACGAAGACGACGATGACGGCGACGACGGTGACAGCGGCGTCGATCCCATACCTCTGTTGTAAGACGACGCCAGGACTGGGATAAAATCGGGTAGGGATGAATCCTCAACCTCCTTCTCCTCCTCCTCGTCCTCCTCCTCCTCCTCCTCCTCCCTCCTGCTTCCTGGTCCCTGACGGCATCGGTGTCTTCAGGCGCTGCAGCTTCCCCCAGAGCTGGCCAGAAACCAACCCTGAGGTATACTATCAACATAGAAAGAGGTGCCGGGTGCCACTGACCGTGGACGGTGGCCGGCCACTTGCCAACTGGGGGGGCGGAAGGATCTCCCCCCCTGCACATAGGAACTCCCCCGAAATGACATCCCCGCGACTGTCACCCTTCCCTGCAAGCAGGAGTAGGGCACCCAGACCGCGGAGGTAGGGGCCACTTAGGGGGCTTCCGCCGCGTTTGGGCGAGGTTTGTGCTTTTTCCACGGCGGCGGCAAGGTGGCTGTGGTGCTCTTCCTCCTCTACCTCCTGTTCTTGGTCAGGCTCTCACTCCCCCTTTCTGTCGCTCATGCCACGGGCGGCGCGCAGGCTGCGGTGAGATGGTGATTATATACCGCTGTGAGGCCCACTGTAGAGCTGGTACCTGGCAAGACGGGCTGCCTCGCACTGCCCCCGGAGACCTGGAGCAGGGAAGGCGGCTGTCCTCGCCTCGCAGGACCTGGAGGAAGCAGAGCGAAGCACCGTGGCCTTTCGCTCCGCATAAGCAGCGGACGTAACGAGTCGTCACGCGACCTCGCGCTGGACCCTGTGGTGGGCAGCTGGGGGGGATCAGCGAGCAGGCTGCCCTCGGGCCGTTGCCGGGGCATTCGGTGCCAGCAGCTCATAAGCTGGCCGGCGGTGACGCAAACGCGTGCGCGAATACGACAACGGTCGAAGCCGTGCTCGACGCAGTGCTGAAGTGGGGTGAGCCGAGTGGCGCCGGGCTCCTCGCAGGCCTGCGGCCTCGGTCTGTCGCCGGGGTGGAGGTGCGAGGAGGAGGAGGGATAATAAACAGAGAAGGATGAAGACAGGGGAGAGGCGAGGTAGGTTACTCCCTGCGCGTCGGCTGGGGTAGACAGGAAAGTAATTGGCAGCATTTGGCAGGGCGGCTGGCGGCGGCGCGAGCGGCGAAACACAATCAGTTAAACCGGGCTGGAGTGTGGCAAGGGCAGGCCTTACAGCTCAATGGAAACCGCCTTCTGCGGCCGACTGGCACGTGGGTGGTGAGACGGGCTCCACGCTGGCGGCCGAGCGCGGCCTGGGCTCTCCAAAGGCCACGGGGTCTGGCGGTTCACCCCCAACCTTCGTCCCGTTACGGTGCTTTTCGTGTTTCTCTGTGGGTTCACCACTAACCCTGCGTTGCCGTGATAAAAATTGGCGGTGGGCCGAGGCTTCTCCGGCCCGAACCAAGGCTGCCGTCGGCGAGAGTTCCCTCCCGGTCCCCCAAGTAGCACCGAACCGTACCCGCCGCCAACAGAGAGCCGGAGTGGGTCAGTGGGGCGAGGAGTGGGCGGGCCAGTCAGGGGCAAGTGGGCGGCCGGAAGGGAGGGGAAGGCTGGGCAACGTGGCTTACGGTCCCCAAGCCTCTGGCCATTGAGTTGCAGAAGCGGCGGCTCACCACCTCGTTCGTCGTGAGGGCCGTCGGGCGGGGGGCGGGGGGGGGCCGTCGGTCAGGGCAAAGTGGTCGCGGTGACCTTTGTGGGGGCCGCGTGGGGGCGTGGGGGGCGGTGCACGGGGGCGCGGGGGGTCGCGGCGTAGCCTGGATCGGCGTGCGTGGGGAGATGCCCACCTCCAGTAGAGTTGCCGCCGCCTCTGTCGTCAGGCGGCAGGGAGTGGGTTCGACGTGTCGGATTCGTCCGAGGTGGCGTCCTCGTCCTCCTCGGGGCTTGTCTACCCTGATGAGACAGCGCTGTCTTCGCAGTCGTGCTCGTGGGGGGAGTCCGCGGTGCTGTCGCGCGGGCCGTCGGCGAGGCCGTCGCGGGGGCGGGGGGGGCGCAGGGACTGTCGT